TTTTTTTTATTGATTTCAGAGAGGAAGGGAGAGGGAGAGAGAGATGGAAACATCAATGATGAGAGAGAATCATTGATCGGCTGCCTCTTGCATGCCCCACACTAGGGATCGAGCCCGCAACCCAGACATGTGCCCTGAGTGGGACTCAAATTGTGACCGCCAAGTTCGTAAGTCAACACTCAACCACTGAGCCGCGCTGCTGGGCTAATACCAATTTTTTTAAATGTGGAAAATGCCCACAGTATGTTTGTAACTAGAAGAAGAGTATGCAAAACATAATTACAGTATAGTTATGAATACATGTAAGTATGTATAAATTCATACACACACATAAAATGAGAGGTTTATTTTTTTTTTAATTTTTTCTCTTTTTTAGTGGTTTATTTCTTTTGAACTATTTTGCTTTTTTATAGCTTTGATCGTGTCTATTTCATAATAAATATTTGTACCTTCTGTTAAGTTTTAAAAGTCTTTTTTAATTGTAAAATAACATGATATTTGGCTTATAAATAAGTAAATTCTACAAAAGAATCATAAAGTGAGTATAAACTAGTCATCCGTCCTGGTAACAACAATTATTAGGTTTGGTGTCTATTTTTCCAAATTTTTTTTTTCTAAGAATATACAAACTTATCCCCCTCTCACACACAAAGTAGAACGTTTATAATTGAAAGTCTGCTAGTTTCATTTTGAAAAAGCAAATTAGAGCCCTAGTTCATCTGGCTCAGTGGATAGAGGGTCAGTCTGGGGACTGAAGGGTCCCAGGTTGGATTCCAGTCCAGGGCACATGCCCGGGTTGTGGGCTAGAATCCCAGTGGGGGCGTGCAGGAGGCAGCCAATCAGTGATTCTCTCTCATCATCGATGTTTCTATCTCTCTCTCCCTCTCCCTTCCTCCTGAAATCAATAAATATATATATTTAAAAAGGAAAAGCAAATTAGAAAAACGGCTAGAAAGGATAAAATATAAGACAAATACAGTAAAAAGACATATTATAAAAAATACTTTAAAAGGTATTTAAACAGACTAATAGAGAATTACAAATAACCATATTAGCTAAAGTAATATATTAAAAATAGTCTCGAGGGAAAAAAAATCACTTTCGCTACAAGCTTCTCTCTCCAAGAGGCCTGGGTGACAGTGAGAGCTGCAGTTCTGAGTCCAAGAACCGTAGTCCACCCACATAGGCATTGAAGTGGGGGGCCCCAGCCTTCAGACAGGCAACTTTAGAGCTTGGGATCATCTTCAGGGGGAGATATGTCCCAACATCAGCTTCAGCCTCATCCTGTTTTTTGTTGTTGTTGGTTTTTGCTGCCGTTTACCTTCAATGTAACAGTAAGTGCAAATCTGATTCCAGGCTGTCCCAGCTCAAAACCTTCAAAAGCTGCTTCCCTGGTTCCTGAATCAAGCCCCCCCAAACCTTGTTTTGGTGAAGGGTTCCAATCCCGGCTCCCTGGGCACGTGCCCACCCCTCATATCTCGCCCAGTGTACTCACAGGTTGGGAGCTGGCGGATACATACCTGGGCAGAGACCAGGGCTGTCCTCTTCCCTGCTGCATGAACAGGTCCAGCTCCACCCCACACTCAACCTCACATGCAAACTTCATTTCCCGATTTCTTACACAGGTCTTCAGGAGTCAGGGGAGGTCTTATTTAGCCCGAGTGTCTCTCTATCTTGCGACAAATTTCTTTCCCAGACCTCCGCTTCCTTATTTCTAAAATGAAGACATAGCACATGGGTCTATTTAAAACAAAAGACAAAGATTCTTTTCATTTATTTATTAATTAAATATATCTTTATTGATTTCAGAGAGGAAGGGAGAGGGAGAGAGAAACATCTTCTATAATAATAAAAGTGTAATATGCTAATTAGACCGGAGGGTGGGGGAGGGGAGGGGGGGCTGCAAGAGCAGAGCCCCTTGCACGAATTTCGGGGCATCGAGCCTCTAGTCGATGATGAAAGAGTCATTGATCGGCTGCCTCCTGCACGCCCCGCACTGGGGATCCACCCGGCAACCCAGGCACGTGCCCCGACCGGGAATCGAACTGTGCCCTCCTGGTTCATAGGTCGATGCTCAACCACTGGGCCAAGCCAGCCGGGCAGGGTTATCTTTTTAGATGCCCCCTCTGCCCCACCCCAAAACAGGTACACAGCAGACCCTCCCGAATAGCCTGTTGAATTGATAAATCTGTGGCTCGCATCCAGTGGTTGGCGTTCAATAAATAACTCACGTTTAATTTAACGCTTGGTCTTTCCAGGAAGTCTGCGCCTTTCTCGAGAGCAGGAACCATCAATTCACTGAAACCCCGATGCAAAGAAGACGGACTCAGCTGGGCCCCGGTGTTCAAAGGTTCACAGCAACTCGCTCACATTTGACAAATTCCTTTTCCACGTCAGTGTGTGCAAAGGTGGGGAAGGCGAGGCCAGCTGGGAATTCCCCGGCTCGAGACGAGGTTGCGTCACAGACGGACTCCGAGAGCCGGGCCCAGGAAAACATCTGGCCTTCTCATTGGTTGCCGCGGACCCGCCCACTGGGAACCGGCCAATCCCGGGCGCCGCTGGAAGCCTCACAGCCGCACACAGCCAATCAGAAGCAGCGCAGGAGAAGCAGCGGCGGGCGCTGACGCGATGACGGCCCAGCGAAAAATGTCGCTGCGCGGACGGACCTGTCCAGGGGCTGAGAGGCGGCCGGGCCGCTGAC